GCAAAATTGAAGTTAACATATTCAAAATTATTTTTAAAATAATAAGCATTGAAAGAAAATCAGGGATGTTAAGGCATTAGCAAGAAAAGTTCAATTTTCCAGAGAGCCCTCTGGGTAAGTAGGGTTGTATAGTACCCCAGTAACAAAAGTACGAAAAAAAGGGAAAATCGGTACAGGGTTGGTGTGACTAAAGGAAAGGAATAAGTCTGTGTTTGAGTTGGGTGATTGATCTTTCCCCCGATGCCAGGCAGGAGGTGGGTAAATTATCCAGAGGAGAGCAGTGAGCATCTCATGTATACAGCTACGTGCGTGGCTTCAGGTGACCCGTGTCATCCTCTGTTGTGGGCTTTCTTCATTTTGAGTGAGCAAGCTCCTGAAGTAATTTTTTCATATACAGTGAGTGTTGGTAAACTGAGTTTTTACAGGTCCATTATATATATATATTATTATTTTTTTTTTGTCTTTTTGTCTTTTTTCGTGACTGGTAACGGGATCGCAACCCTCAGTGTCGTGCCCGTATCGCGACCGGCAACGGGATCGCAACCCTCGGTGTCGCGCCCACACCACGCTGAACCAGTGAGCGGACTGGTCTCTATATGGGATCCGAACCCTCCGCGGGAGTGCCGCCTCCCAAGCGCCAAACTCTACTGAGTGCACCACTGGGCCGGCCCTGGGTCCATTATATTTTGAATGATTCTTTCACTGTAGAATTCAGAGTTAAAAATATTCTTTCCCTCAGAAGTTTGAAGATACTGTTCCATATACAACCAGTATTGTCTATTTGTTCTTTTTTTTTTTTTTTTAGTGCTAAAGATTAGCATTTATTTGTTTGTTTTTTTATTATTATTTTTATTTTGTCAATATACAATGTAGTTGATTATTGTGTCCCATCACCGATTTGTTCTTTATTCAGAAAGTTTTCCTTTACTTCACACACTTAGTCTTTATCTGTGTGCGTTCTAATGAAGTCCATTGTCGTGTCCTGTTGTACAGTTTCCCCTGCAATCACACCTTAATTATCAGGCACTCTGTTTTGTTGTTCTTCTGGATTTTCTCTGTTTAGCTGGAGGGGAAACGCTGAGTGCGTTTAGGTGGAGGAGGCTGGAGGTCAGATGCTGCTCTTGGACAAATCCCCTAGTGACTGTCTGTGGGGCACATCTGTGCCTTCTCTCTGTTGCCGTCCAGTTCCTTTCAAGGCCTGGCCTTCCCCATGGTATTTGGGTCTGCGGTTTCCTTGGCTTATCCTTTGTCCATCTCATCCTTATGCTTTCTGGCCCTCTAGGAATTCTCGAGCTTTCTGGCCGGCTGACGGCAGCCTTTTCTATTTTTGCACTGCTATTGTTATTTCATTCTAAAGATACTGCTTTTGTCATTTCAGTGGGCCCTTGAGTGGCAGAGGGGAAGGATCTTGTAGTCACTTCACCAGTTTAAACTGGAAGACTCTTTTCTTTCTTAAGATTGTATTCCAGTCCTCTGCTTCCCCCTTAAACTCCCTGGCTTATCTCCTTGGCTTGCATAAAGGTGCCCACAGTCCAGCATCCTGGATAGTTCTCCTGGGAAGCTAGGCTGGGAGATGGGGAGCTCCCTGCATTGGTAGGCTTGTTGGCCCTGGCACCAGGTGCTCTGGGACTGCAAAGATGAGATCATGCAGTTGTATTCATGGAGATCTTCCAGGGTTTACCTGTGCCCTGTCAAAGAAAAGTGGCACTGGACAATTTCAATAGGCCAAGAAGGCTTTTTCGAGAATACTGCAAAAGGGGTCAAGACTCAACTCTTAATACAACAGGGGCACCTGGGGATTTCTAGCCGTGGCCAGGGTCCGGGGGTCAGTGGATGGGAAATTAATAATAGGAACTTGGTTAGGTATCAAGGGTAGGAGGATTCTTGCTAAACTGGGTTGAGCTGGCCAATGATGAGGCCTAACCAAGAAGGGAACTCAGAGAAGCCTGACTGAAGCTTGGTCCAGGAGGGAGTCTTGACAGTTCCTCCCTCATTCCACGTATAAGATACTCTGTATATTTCTGGTCAGTACTGGGATGCCTGACCTGCTGGCCAGTGGCTACCACTTACTGGACTGATAGCTCAGGCCTGTGATCTCTCTTTATTTTGCATAGTCTTGATTGGTGACATTTTCTTAAAGATTAATCATTTCTGGGGCCGGCCCGGTGGCGCACTGGAGAGTGCGCCGTCTGAGAGCGCGGCGGTGGTCCCGCTGAGGGTTCGGATCCCATGTGGAGACCGGTCCCGCTCACTGGTTGAGCGCGGTGCGGGCGCAACACCGAGGGTTGTGATCCCATTGCCGG